TTTCACCACAACTCATGTCGAAGAATGAGGAAGACATGAAGACACCATGCTTCACCATGTTTGATGGCTAAGTCAGGTCATCATCTGACACCGGCACCCTGTGGGCCTTCTATTTCCTGACCTCACGAAGCACTTCTGCCAGGACCGCGTTGCGGTGCACCAGCCCCTGATGAGGGACTCATGGAAGCTCAACATACCCCTACCCAATATAAAACACCCACACGAAACTATGGCTTGGTAGAGAATTTCCACGCAATTGGGAACATAGAATGGGGGTGTTGAATATTAGGTATGGGATTAGATACACTTGGATCATGAAAATTTGTTCTAATCTCACAAGACTATGTGTTTGAACAAACCCATGAACCTGTGACAACACTAAGCATCTTAAACTCAGAAGAATATTGTAGCTCAAATCATCCCAAAATCAGATGAGATAACTCCAGATGGAAGCCACGAACCCGAATGTATTCACGTTCTTGGACTACGAGTGAAAACCTCTACAATAGGAAAACGAACCTTTTTTTTCATGCATCGTGCGCGCACATCGTCTCAGCGAAGGCACCTGATCAACAGTTCACACAGAGACAACTAACCAGCACAACAACATCACCATCAGCACAACGAAATCACCACCAACACAACAACATCACCAGCGCAATGAAATCACAACGAAATCACCAGCGCAACGAAATCACCAGCGCAACAAAATCACCAGCACAACAACATTCACCAGCGCAACGAAATCACCAGCACAACGAACGCACCAGCGAACATCACCAGCGCAACAAAATCACAAGCACAAAGGAATCACCAGTACAACGAAATCACCAGCACAACGACATCACCAGCGCAACGAAAGCACCAGCACAACGAAGTCACCAACGAACAGCACCATCGCACCAAAATCACCAGCACAAACGAAATCGCTAGCACAACAAGGTCACCAGCACAACAACATCACCAGTACAACAACATCGCCACCACCTGCCCACACTTTACCCACTGCACACTCCACACTCTACACTCTACACTTTACACTCCACGCTCCACACTCTACATTTTACATTCTACACTTTACACTCCACACTCCACACTTTACACTTTACACTCCGCGCTCCACACTCTACACTTTAAGCTCCACACTTTACACTTTACACTCCTCGCTCCACAATCTACATTTTAAGCTCCGCACTTTACACTTTGCACTTTACACTCCACACTCCACACTCCACACTTTACACTTTACACTGTCTTTACACTCCACACGCCACACTTTACACACCACACTCCTCACTCCTCACTCCTCACTCCTCACTCCATACACTACACTCCACACTCCACACTCCCCACTCCACACTTTACACTCCACACCCCACCACACTCTACACTCTACACAGACCACACTCCACACTCGACACTTTCCACTTCACACTCTACACACTACACTTTACACTCTACACTCCAGACTCCACACTCGACACTTTCCACTTCACACTCTTCACTTTACACTTTACACTCCATGCTTTCCACTTTACACTCCTCACTCCACACTTTACACTCCACACTCCACACTCTACACTTTACACTCCACACTCCACACTGCACAACACTCCACACTCCACCACACTCTACACTCTACACACACCACGCTCCTCACTCCACACTCCACACTCCCCACTCCACACTCCACACTTTACACTCCACACTCTACACTTTACACTGTACAGTCCACACTGCACACTCGACACTTTCCACTCCACACTCCACATTCCACACTTTAGACTCCTCACTCCACACTCAACAATTTGCGCTTCACACTTTACACTTTGCACTCCACACTCCTCACTCCACACTCCACACTCTACACTTTACACTCCACACTCCACACTCTACACTGCACACTCCACACTTTACCCACTGCACACTCCACACTTTACACTCCACACTTTACACTCCACACTTTCCACTCCAACTTTCCACTCCACACTCCACACTCTACACTTTACACTCCACACTCCACACTCTACACTGCACACTCCAGACTTTACCCACTGCACACTCCACACTTTACACTCCACACTCCACACTCCACACTCCACGCACTACACTCCACACTCCACACTCCACACTCCACACTCCACCACACTCTACACTCTACACACACCACACTCCTCACTCCACACTCCACACTTTATACTCCACACTTTACACTCCACACGCCACACTTTACACTCCACACTCCTTACTTTACACTCCCCACTTTACACTCCACACTCCACACTCTACACTTTCCACTTCACACTCCACACTCTACACTGTACACTCCACACTCCACACTTTACACTTTACACTCTACACTCTACACTTTACACTCCACACTCCACACTCTACACTTTACACACTCAACACTCCCCACTCCACACTTTACACTCCACACTCCTTACTTCACACAAAGTTTGCACAAACTACTTCCCAGCACAAAGTCGACCAGCGCAACAAAATCACCAGCACAACGAAATCACCACTAGAATCACTAGAACCAAATCACCAGCCCAACAACACCACCAGCACAACGACATCACCAGCACAACGAGATCGCCTCCACCTGCCACACTCCACACTTTACCAACTGTACACTCCACACTCCACACTCCACACTCCACACTTTCCACTCCGCACTCTACACTCTACACTTTACACTCCACGCTCCACACTTTACACACCACAGGTTCCACTCCACACTTTCCACTCCACACTCTACACTTTACACTCCACACTCCACACTCTACACTGCACACTCCACACTTTACCCACTGCACACTCCACACTTTACACTCCACACTCCACGCTCCACGCACTACACTCCACACTCCAGACTCCACAACACTCCACAACACTCCCCACTCCACCACGCTCTACACTCTACTCACACCACACTCCTCACTCCACACTCCACACTTTACACTCCACACTCCAGACTTTACACTTTAGACTCCACACTCCACACTCGACACTTTCCACTCCACACTCCAGACTTTACACTTTAGACTCCACACTCCACACTCGACACTTTACACTTTAGACTTTACACTTCTCACTCCACACTCAGCACTTTACACTTCACACTTTACACTTTGCACTTGAGACTCCTCACTCCACACTTTACACCCCAGACTCCACACTTGACACTCCACACTCCACGCTCTACACGTTACATTTTACATCACTCCTCACTCCATACACTACAAAAACATTGTTTTTTACGGTGTTTCGGGCCCTTCGGTGGCAAGGGATTTCATCTTGGCGATGTTACCAAACCTGGGTTTTTACGTGGTTTTGGTCTCCAGGAGGGGGCCCGGGGCGGAAAAATTGGCATCTTAAGATCGCTTCAACATAGATGGCCCAAACATGGCCCCAACATAGCTCCCAAGATGGCTCAACATGGGCCAACATAGGCCCAACGTAGGCCAACATAGGCCCAACATAATGCCAACATGGTGCTTGGCCAGCGCCCGGCTGTCAGGCGCAAGCCTTTAAACCCAAAGCCCCCGGGCCCTGGCACTGCCGTGCGGCATTCTGATGAAAAGGCGCCAAATCATTCATTATACCAATTATTCCCTGCCACGGGGTGCCTCCCTCCCGCCGACCCATCAGAAGTCCCGCAATTTACAATGCTTTGTGGCTCGCGCTTGTGGATCAAGATGGGTCAACATGGCCCAACATAAGCCCCAGGCCCAACATAGGCCGCAAGCTGGGCCCACATAGCCCCAAGATGGTCCCACATAGCCGCAAGATGACTCAACATAGCCGCAAGATGGGCCAACATAGCCCCAAGATGGGCCAACATAACTCGAAGCCGGGCCAACCTAGCCCCTAAGATGGCCCCAA